CGCGCTCACGCGCACACACACACACGCACACGCACACGCACGCGCGCACGCACACACACACGCACACGCACACGCACACACACACACACACACACACGCACACGCACACACACACACACACACACACACACACACACACACACATGTATATGAAATAAATAAATTTGGAAGTAAAATTGTTATAATATATATATTATAATAATTGATGTGATTTACACTAAATAGCCTGCCAGTGAAAGAGCATGTAGGAACGTTTGTAAGAACTGTTTATTCGACGCTATATATGAGTACAGCATTCGTTCAATAGTTTGTAAACACGTAAATGAAGGGTAAATCTTTGAAGGGCATTGCAGTAAATCAAGTTTTTAGCATTGATGATCGTGATTAGTTGACACCTGTATATATTTACCTAGCAATAATTTTCAGGCAATGTTTTTGCTGGTTAAAACAATAATCTAAGTATATAGATAGTACTAGAAGGAAGTCTAAGTAGAAGTAGTAGTAATAAGTATATATAAATATTATAAAAATACAAGTAAATCTAAGAGGTAGTAATAGTTTTCTTGAATGAGAACACTAACATCACAGTCAACAGTATCTTAGGTTTAAAAATGTTTTAATTATTCCACGTACCTATTTTAATTTTTCAATGTTAATTACTTGATTTTAAAATGTTGGTGTTGTTTATTTATTTTAATGTGTGGCACAATTGCTTGCATTGACTCTGGCACTAGTAACCCAAGTTGCACTTTTCATGTTATATTCCAATGCTTTACACAAGACTTTACGAGGAGTTTTTAATAATATCAATTATCAATGTTCGCATTATTTTATCGATATCAATATTATATATTTACATCTATATTAATTTCAGTAAGATTTTAAAATATATTTATGCTAAATGAGATTTATTATTATTTATTATTATTATTCCTGGTCTCAAATGTTTTCAAATGAAATTCAAATATGTAACCCAGACTTATTATTTCCACCAAATGCAGCACTGACATCACTCATAGCAAATCCTGCAAGTTTTAAATTCAGGTTTTAATAATATATATCTCACGAATATTAAATATTAAAATGGTCATGTAGCCAAATTTACCCCACTAATTTTACTTAAAATTATGCTGAAACCTGAATATTAAACATTAAAATGGTCATGTAGCCCAATTTACCCCACGAATTTTACTTAAAATTATGCTGAAATTTTACTTAAAATTATGCTGAAACCTGAATATTAAACATTAAAATGGTCATGTAGCCCAATTTACCCCACGAATTTTACTTAAAATTATGCTGAAACCTGAATATTAAACATTAAAATGGTTATGTAGCCAAATTTACCCCACTAATTTTACTTAAAATTATGCTGAAACCTGATGTGTATGTTATCATTCAATACTAATAACACAAAAAATAACGTGAAATGCCGATGCAACCAAATGAAGTGACTAAAATGAATTATGTCTGTGGGACGCTTGCTCATTCCTGCCTTCACTCTGCTTGTTGCTCAGTGCGTATTAAATATATTCGCCTACAAGAAATAATTTATGGATTCTCGTAAACACTTCGCCTGCATTTATTATTGCATGGAATCTACTTCTGAAATATATATTTTTTTTCCTGCCACCGCAGGCATTCGCGCGCATGAAACCTGCCGGTAACGCGCCATTGTGATTTATCAATGCTCATCGCACGCCGTTTGTGTTCTCGCTCTCACCCTCATCCCTTCACACGCACACACAGATCCGCGTGAATGGACAGAGCTGCACGTACAGCAGTGGCTCTGCTGGGCCGTGCGCGAGTTCTCGCTGCAAGAAGTCGTCGTGTCGAACTTCACGATGCGAGGCATCACGCTCTGCGGCATGGGCAAGGAGGCATTCTTCGCCCGCGCGCCGCCCTACGTCGGGGACATACTGTGGGAGCATTTGGAAAGGCTTCAGAGCGGTAAGTAGATGCGTAGAGAGACTGAAGAGAACGTACACTACTGCCCTTCAGTCTGCCATTGGTGATTCATACACGAGCACCTATCTACACACGAACAGCCTAGCTCTCATGTTCCTCCACCCGCACACCACTTAGGCATGTTCTACCAGCCACCCATCGTACACTGTCTATTCACGTTACCACCTTTACATCACCCATACACGACCTATATATACACTACTCATCCATGTTACTAACCATACGTCACTCATTTATGTTACCTCTCATTCACCACTCCTCCATGTTACCTCTCATTCACCACTCCTCCATGTTACCTCTCATTCACCACTCATTTCTGTGCCACTACCCATCAGTTGCACAACCATCTATCTACTAATGCCCACCTATACATTGATTACCGATCTGCATAGACCGCGCATCCACAGATGAACACAC